TGAACCAGTGCTATCAATATTTTTTTAGGCAACTTCTAATAAATAAGAACCCAAAGTCCTTTTTTTTCATCATTACTATAATTTTTAGAAAAAAAATTCTATAACATGTTTAATAAAGTAAAAAATATTAAATATCCTCCTAAAATAATTTTTTAATAGGCCTAAAGGAAATACCTCATTAACAAACGTTAACCTTATACCCAATATATTTTATAATATTCTCTTTTTGAATTTTCCTGATTTTAATAATAACATTTTTAGATATAGTTTTGTTACACTGATTCTGATGTAATATTTTTTTTGAAAAACACTTATCGTGCTCGGCGTAACCGGTTACCCCTATCGGAATCAGTGGCCTACTTATGATGACGGCCCGAAGAGGCTTACACGCCGAATGCACGTAAGGCTCGTAGGGATCCGGGTCGGGGCGGAGCCCCAGCTAGNTACACGCCGAATGCACGTAAGGCTCGTAGGGATCCGGGTCGGGGCGGAGCCTAGTGTCCAATAATAAAAAAATCAGAATTTTTTAGTGTCATTATTATAAATTGTATTTAGATATATAAAATAAGCAAAAAAAACACATTTTAATTTTTCCGTAGGATATCGTTGTACATGTCATAAACTTGTATGGCACTCTGCTACCAATTATGTTAATAAAAAAGCTAATCAAAAGCGCATCAAAGGTAATAAATTTCTTTTTTCTTTATTTTCTGAAATTATAATTATAAATCTTAAATTTAAAACCAACTAGAAAAAATTAATTTTTTAAGTCAACTACTAAATAATTTTAATAATTATTTTAAATTACAATTATACTCATTAAGTAATTGTTTTCTAGATTAGAAAAAAATACTCACCGTTAATTGATTTAGTTACTGCATCATGTATCATCTGATTCATGATAGCTCTGTTCAAAAATATGTTATCTTTGAACTGATTCGGGAAAACTATGAGATTATTTTTTTGGTTAAAGCCTTTGCCAAATGAATAGTTTTACGATTAGCCATCCATAGTTCCAGACAATCACATTCTTTAGGACAAGCAAAAATGCTTTTATCTATGAAATGATATCTACTGGACAAAATTCCACTGAACTCACATACCAGTTCAGTAGTGAGACATTTTGAAAGAATGCGCTAAATATAACACGAGATAAGATACCTGTGATCACACAATCAAGCAAAGCACAAGTGACAGCGTAAACAAAATATGTAGTATCGAAGACGTCAGGAGTGTAGAAATGTGGATCAACAATGGGGATGATTTAGAATAGTTTTTATCAGCGTTCCTTAGTCAATTAGTATACTTACGTAGAGTGCTATTGTCTTAATAGCACCCTACATTTTAACTAGTGCAGTAATAGATTAACTGTTAGAATGAGTAAACAAATGTGTTGAATTGAAATAGGATGGCATTTCTTTCAGAAAAGTCAGATATTTGTAGATATCTATATAATATTTTCAACAAAATAGTTTTAAAAGTTAATTTCTGTAAAATATCGAAAAATTATTAGGTTTCTTCTCTTGCAATACATAATGAGAGTTACATTATACACACGCACAGAGGTGACAAAAGTATCCTTTCGGGGAACAAATGCATTTTACCACCCCATCGAGTTTTTTCAAATTTTTTTTTTTTTAAACGTGTGTTTTTCAATGCTTTTTTTAAAAGTGTTTGAAAAAATTGTCGGAAAAAATTGGTTCAAAAGTTATAGCTTTTTAAAGTTGAAACGTCAAAAACTAAAAATAGCTCAAAAATTGTTTTTTTTTTAATTTTTGGGATTTTTTCTCATGATACTATTGTGAAACTATAATGACGTAATTATTACATAATATCCTCATTCTAAAAATCCTAAAACCAAAATTAACTTTAAAAATAAAAATTTTCCAAATTTTTTTTTTCAAAACTACGCACATTAAAATTACGCAATACGAAATAAAAATGGGGTTTTCATAAAATTTTATATAAGTGATTAGGTAATAACAAGAAACTCAATTAATTCAAGTTGAAAAAAAAAAAAAAGACCACGATGTGGTGTTTTACTTAGAATTGTTAATTCAATAAAATAAAAGTTTATACTGTATATTATGTATATCAATTAACACTTGTTGAAAACAAAAAAAAAATACTATTAAACTATATATTGAAATTTCAGTATTCATCTTGATACCATTTAAAATAATTGCACCTTTGTGGGTTCGTGCGCGGTTTTGCACAGCAGTAATACGGTCTGTCCTCATTAGTTCCTGAACTAGTAATGCATAATGATGCTTGGGTATGACAATTACAGTTGTGATAATCTTCAGCCATGTATTTAAAGTATCAACAACGCGTTGGATCAATATAATCTTTACGACACACGACAAATTGCTTGTTACTCGATTCTAAATAACTATTAAGGTTTATCCCAAATATTCACATTTAAACCACAATGACATTTGTACAAATTTCCATCATACATCCATCGGTTCATAGTGAGAAAAAATAACTTAAATAGAAAAAGAATTAAGCTGTAGTCTATTGGTAAACTACTAAGATTATACTATAGATTACATCGTTTATTTTTCAATGTTACTGAAACAGTGCATCATGATCTTTGTTACCAACTGTCAAATATAAAAACGTATTATCATAATTTAAATAATGCAAAAAATTTTATAGTAGTTAGAATTGAAACTGATACTGTATGCATAAAAGTATCAGCAATACCATTTCAGCAACAGTTTGAATTGAGCAGNTATCATAATTTAAATAATGCAAAAAATTTTATAGTAGTTAGAATTGAAACTGATACTGTATGCATAAAAGTATCAGCAATACAATTTCAGCAACAGTTTGAATTGAGCAGCGCGACGTACATTTTTTTATTTAAGTACCTACACACATATAAATATTTTTTTTAGTATAATTAAATAAATAAAATTCGATTACTGAATCATCGATAATACTTTTTCTAATGAATTAATGCAAAAAAACAAAAAGAACAGAAGTATATAACAAAATTTGTCAATGATGGTTGAAAACTTTGAAAGCTTATAACTTTTAAACTGGACTTCCCGACAATTTTTTTTTATATATTCTTAGTCAGTATAAAAAACTGAACTAATTTAAAAAAAAAAAATTGAAAAAACTTGATGGGGTGGTAAAATGCATTTAAGCCCCTTTCGGAATGGCTACGTAAGTAAGGATACTTGGAATATGTAGTCTACCAACAAAATGTAAAGGTACTTCTCAAATCACGCTGCCGGCTGGATAGTACCTAACTAATAATAACTAAAACCATTTAAAATTGACTTCAATTACTACTTAAAATCGTGTTTCTATTACTCTAAACATCTTATATCAGATTTCCGTAAAATAAAGACGTCGGTTATAGCTTCCCTTAATTTGTACTGGTAACCAGAAACAAAAAAATGAAATTTGCTTAGGCCAAATTTAATTAGTTAATAATTTATTTAATAAAATCTGAGAATTACTTAATTTTCATGACTAACTTAGGTTTTTTAATCATGAAAAGGCAATGAATTAAATTAAATGAGATTTTATGTGTTTAATAGGTTAAGACAGTGATGTATTAAAAGAAGTTAATTTGAAAACACATTTTTTAATAGAATTTAATAATATTTATGTTACTGGAAATTTTATAATAAATTAATATAAAAGAATTTCGTTATATGGTTGCACTGATGTTTCTGCTCTCAATTCAAACCACTATTTTGTATAGGTCAAGTGAGCTATCTGATTTTATATAGTCAGCGGGTAAACTACTTCTAATTGAGACACAGTACGTCTTGTTGAGAAATTTGTAGTGGGGATCTTACATCGGATTATCGTATATTTCTATAGAATTATCTCGATAGTAACTATGGCTGTATTTTATATTAACTTCTTGAAGTTTTAACCAGTTGTATATAATAAGAATTTGTTGAGAGGTGGACTAGATAACTACTCGTGTAGTTTTTAACTTTTTAGACGACAGTTTTATAAATATAGTTTAAAAAAACGCGCGCAAATTACTCACTCCCGGAACGTGGAGGTAGTGACGAAAAATGACAATACGGAAATCATGCCTCGTAACCGGAATGAATATTTTATATCTATTAATGAGAATAAAGTGTGTTAATATATAAATTTTAATAGTAATTAGACTATATATGTACATGTAAAGCGACTTAAGTACATAAACGTATCATGCACTAGGTATAGCCGTGTTATGTGGGCGGGCGGGACGGACTATCGTTATATCTGAGGTATAAACGGCGGTAGGAATATATACGTAAGCCGTATGGCACACGGATGGTATTGGTCAGTCAAAATAAAAATTTGTTTATATGTATATAATATTGATGACAAGCACGCGTGTACGGGTACGATAACCAAAAATAAATTTATACAGGAATAGTGTTGCCGTCGCGTGGGGAGCGAGGCGTGGGGTGGGGTGAATTTGTTATGACAGTCTAGTCTCAAGGCCATAGACGACGGAATATGCGATAACGCGTGGCGTGTGGAGAGTTACCAAACATCCTCACATACATACATTCAGGTGAAACTAATATAAGCGTGTTAATAAATAGCTTATCTTAGTTGTTTTCTTGTTTCGTTGTCAAATATGTATTGTAATATTAACCTGATGTAAATGAATAGTATCAAATTTTGTTAAGTGTATCTAGTATTTTTGCTAATATAAGTGACTTTTAGTTATGGAGTGCTGTGATTTTAACTGGCTTCTGCTGTCAATTGTAGTTGGCGCCGTTTTCCTATTTACAACTTTGTATTCGTCTTATTGGTATAAACTAGGTGTAAGATGTCCGTGGGTACCTAAACCATTATTTGGTCATTTCTTTGAATCTATTATTGGTAAAAAACATGTAATGGCCGTTTGGGAACTTATCTATCAAAAAATGGGTGATCAGCCATTTGTTGGCGTTTATAATATGCGTACTCCTCAATTGGTGATAAAAGACATAGATCTCATAAGTAAGTAACATAAACTCTTTAAATGATAATTGAATTTTCAAAAGTATAGACCTAATAATTTTGTTATTAAAAACTATAACTAATTAAAATTGAACATTAAAATTGTAATGGGAAAAGTACTAAGTAAAAACTAAATTTTATCGAAGGAAGAAGAGCACCATCTAAACGGTCTGTATTTATGATAAGCGTCTTTTGTTTGTTTACAAGATAATTCTTGTAAATGTAATTTATTTTATTTACCAAATTATTAGGAAATTTATTTACTATGTCTACCACGTTAAATTGAAAAATTAATTTTTCGAACTAGTACCAATCTCATGTCATTGCCTCGATTGTCTATTTTAATATAAGTTAAAAAAATTGGACAATCTGTCAGATATAAATCCTTACATTAAAAGTTAATGACAATAATTTATTTATTTATTAAAATTCTGAATAATACAAAAAAAAATCGAGTTTATTATGTCTGTAATGTAACTAGTTGTAAGATACAACTCAAGGACAAAGTTTCTGTATTGTCGTTAATACGATTGATTTATTTTTATCAAAACCGGATTTTTTTTATAAGATGAATAATATTGTATGTAGGATTTTTACGTTTTAATCACGCAGTGTTAAAAATAGTATACTAACATGTTTGAAATACCAAACATTTTGTAAGACCAAAATTTTGAAAAATTTTAAACAATTTTTGAACAATTCTGATTTATCGAGATCGTCTTTTTAAATTTTTTGGTTTTGATAAAGTATAAACATTAATTATTTCTGAAAAAAATTGTCTACGTGTTTTTTAAATCAGCTGAATCTGAATATTGGTAAAAACTAAGTTTTAACTTGATACACCATTTTAAAATAATTTATTATTATTTAATATTAATAAATCTGTTATATTGAAATATTTAGTAATTAATCAAAGATAACATGCATTTATCGTTCATTTTTTTTTGTGTATATTTCATATTACTCATGATATTTTCTATTTAATAATAGTTTGTTAGATAAATATATTTTTATCTATTGTTATTTTCATAAGTAATTTGTATAAAAAAATTATTTTTTCCTTATCAAATGTTATAAGAATTAATTTAAATTAAAATTTATGGATATTTTTTGATTTTTTTTTAAATTCAGAATATAGATATTAACTAATTCGAAGATTAATCTGAAGTAATGACAGATTATTATCAATATTTCAAATTTGATATCCTCAGCAATTTCATTGGTTAATTAATTTTTTGCCGGCCCATGTTATTAATAATAAGTTTTTGTATTTATTTCTATGATGTTATTCGTCATAATATCAACATATAAAATATAATTTTTGTTTGTCTTCAATGAATCTAAAATTCATTTCTAATTATTATGATTCCTATGATAATGCAAATATTAATTATCGTTTTTAATTTTATCAAACATTTTGTATATAAATAGCCCAACGCATCAATAAGTAATCGTTTATAATATAGATAAATAATAGTCTTTTGTATATTGTCTCAATTTTAACATTAGAAGTTCTATTTACACATCTTATTATACATTATTTACATTATTTTGTAGAACTAATATCTATTGTTATTATTATTTTCTACATATTTAAGTGCAATTATTTTAATTTTTCTTGATAATTTTGACTGCATTGTAATAAGTAAAGTAAAAACGTTGTAATCACTAATTTTGAACTACTTCTCTATTTATATATTTTTTAGGTTAAATAGTTAATTAAGAGGTGAGTAATTGTGTACTGAATATATTTCAGAAATAATTATAATATTTAATTATAAGTGCGAATTTAAGAGTATTAAATACTTTAGAGACCCGCAAAAATTTAAATATCTTCTATTGATGGTTTTATAAAATAAAATAATTTTTTGACTATTTGTTTCTATGTTATTCATTAATCTCGACATCATTTGCTCTAAATAGTGATTCGATACTAAACTTAATCTTAAAGTATTTTATATTTTCTTTTATTTAAATTAAAAAAAATATTTATGACCCATCGCGTTTAACAGATTGCATATTAGTTAAAGACTTCAACCATTTTAACAGTCGTGGAATTAACTTCGATGTTCGTTCAAATCCACTTCATAACAATATATTTGTTAATGGCGGTGAGCGATGGAGAATTATGAGACAAAAGATGAGTCCTGGGTTTACTTTTAATAAGCTGAAGTATATGATAGATCAAATAAAAGAGTGTATCGATTGTTTGAAGTTGAACATAGATAAAATAGTAAAAGAAGAGTCTGGCGAAATAGAAATCAGAGATATGATGTCCAAATATTCAACAGACGTTATTGGTAGTTGTGCTTTTGGTCTTAAATTAGACGCCATCAATGATCCTGATTCGGAATTCCGAAAATACGGTAAAGCTGTTGTTACCCCTTCTATTAGAAATCAGATTATTTCAGCGATTTTACTTACCCAACCGTTATTATTACGACTTTTGCCAAAAAACAATCGTCGACAAGAAACAATTTCATTCTTCAAAAATGCCTTCCAACAAACTATACAATATAGAGAGAAAAATGGAATAGATCGTAAAGACTTTGTGGAGCAATTGATGAAAGCTAGAGAGGATTTAGTTCTCAATCCAGAATCAAAAAATACTGGTAAATTAATTTTTTATATTTTACAAATAAATTTGTTCTACTGCAATAATAATAAAATGATGTATAAATGTGAAAGGCAAAAAACAAAATTAAATATCACATCTGGCCGTATTTCATAATTCTATATAACTTGTACATAAATGATAAAATTTACTCATTATTCGCACAAATCATCAAACAATAAAAAAGTTTGCTAAAATTATGATTTTTAGCGTTTTATTTTAGTTTAATTCATTTTATTAATCTCAATTCATGAAATAATGAAATAATTTTAAATGTAAAAAAAAAAAAAATGTAACCCACTATTATTGGAGGTCAAAACTTATAATTTTGTTTAATATAAAATGTGATTTTTCTAGATAGGCCCTTATTGTACTGATAGTTTGAATAATGAGTAAATTATATTACTTAGGTACAGGTTACACGTTTTGTGCTATTTAATTTTCAAAAAAATCTAACCATTCTCTGTATATAGAAGACTTCAAGATAAGTTTTTTTATTTGTAGTATATATATTAAAAAATATTTTTAAAGAATGCAGTATTTTCATAATATTTTCAAATATTTGCACTTTTTATGTTTCAAGTTTGGAACCCCTCGTAATATAAGGAGAAATGGTTAGATTTTTTAAATTTTATTTTTTAGCTATTTAATTTTTAAAAAAATCTTATTTTATTTTAATTAAAAAAATTTAAATATATTTATATCTTTTGCACATTTTTGTATTAGATAAAACAATACTAACAATTATCCATAGAGGTAGCGAAATATATAACTAATTTATAATTTTTCCATGAAAACTGTAATACAAAGTATTGAATATTAATTTCATACTAAATTTAATTTTTATAATATGTTTTTATATAATATACTTCTATGGGAGCTTCAACTTCCATAGTAATATTCTAAGTCTCCTTCAAATAAAATGAAATTTCTTTTTCAAAAAAATGTGAGATAAAGTAATGTGGTAGAAAAGATTTATGTCTAGTTTTTATCCAAAATTATAAATTAAAATATGGGATTACAGCTCCTATAAAATATTTTTTTAGGATACGGCCATGTTTGGTTTTCTGGTAAGAGTAGGAGTGCATCAAGGTCCTGCTTTAAGCTTTTACTTATTCTCTATAATGATGGATGAAATTACAAAAGAAATACAAGGAGTGGTGCCGTGGTGCATGTTATTTGCCGACGATATAGTGTTAATAGGGGAAAATTGGGAGGAAATTTATCAAAGGCTAGAGGTGTGGAGTTCAGCTCTCGAAGAAATGGGTTTAAGAATAGTTAGAAGTAAGACAGAGTATATAGAGTACGAGTTTGACAAAGGAGAACACGAGGTAGGTGAAATGAGAAAGTCAGTAACAATAGGCTAGGACGTGATTGGAGAAGTAGAGAGTTTTAAGTAATTAGGGTCAGTTATGCAAAAGAGTGGTGGTATTGACGAGGATGTAAGACACAGAATTATGTGCGGTTGGTTGAAGTGGAGAGAAGCGTCTGGCGTTTTATGCGATAAAAGAATTCCAATGAGGCTGAAGGGTAAATTCTACAAGACTGTAGTGAGGCCAGCTATGATGTATCGTTGTCAGAGTGTTGGGCGGTTGATAAGAAAGTAGAGCAGAGAATAAGTGTAGCAGAGATGAGAATGCTTAGTTGGATGAGTGGAGTGACTAGAGAAGATAGGATAAGGAACGAGCATATAAGAGGAAGTATAGGTGTTGCGTCAATCGTGGATAAGATGACAGAAAATAGACTTAGATTGTTTAGTCATGTTATGAGGAGAGAAGAATGGGAAGCTGTAAGAACAGTTATAGAAATGAATGTTGAAGGAAGAAAAGGTAGAGGAAGATCAAAAAAGAAATGGAGGGATACTATTGAATGAGATTTGAGGACAGCTGATGTGAGCATAGATGATGTGAGAGATCATGTCAAGTGGAAGTTTAGGATAAGGGTGACCGACCTCAAGTAGTTGGGATTAAGGCGAGGAAGAAGAAGAGGAAGATACGGCCATGTTCATTTGATAAATTACCATACAAAAGTCAATATAAATTTACTTAATTTTTCAAAATTATATTAAAATATAATTACTTTTTAGATGTTACATTTTCGGAAATGGATATTGTAGCAAATGCATATATTTTATTTATCGCTGGATTCGATACAGTATCTACAACACTGACCTGCGCTTTATATGAGCTAGCATTGAATAGTACAATTCAAAATAGAGTACGAGAAGAAATTCAATGTGAAAAATTGAAGAATGCTGGTCAATTAAACCATGAATTTTTAAGTAATCTTACATACATGCATATGGTTATCAAAGGTAAACATTTGTGTCTCTTTTATTATCATTAGAAACACATATTAATATATACTAAAGCTTTGAATTATGGTGAAATCTGAAAGTATTTTGATTTTGTTACCCCTTCTTATTAAATAAATATAATAAAATATATTTAATAAGTAAAGGACTGTTCAATTTTATAAATGATAGAAACGATTTTCTTTACTTATAGTGTTTTCTATTCCTCTATAGTACTCTTTGAAAAATAAGATTTTTAAATTAATCTGCCCCTACTTTTAAAGATTATTTTATAAGTTTATATTCATATGTTAAATTAAAATTTGAGTTTTTAAACTACTATTATATTCCTCAATACATATAATATTCAGCACTCCTCATCGGGTTACATTTAACTCTTGTCCTACTTTTTTTGTTATGCATTTTTATTTCTATACAATATATATATATATTAAATATATTATCATTTAAATTTTAAACCCTCTTTTGTTATAAAACTTTTACAAATTCTAAATATTATAAAATATTGATTTTCAGAGACGTTAAGAAAGCATCCTCCACTTGGTATTTTAGAAAGAGTAGTAACTGAGCCATATAAAATACCGGGATCAAATGTTACTTTGGAAAATGGTACAAAAATAATTATACCAATAAGATCCATTCAACACGACCCCAAGTATTATTCAAATCCAGATGAGTTTGACCCTGAACGATTTTCTAAAGAGAACGAGAGCAACTTATATCCGAATACATATTACCCTTTTGGAGATGGCCCTCGACTTTGCTTAGGTATATTTTAAATATTATTTTTGTTGTTAACTATTTAGTTATATAATTGACTTTTTTATTTTTAGGTAAACGGTTTGCTGAATTAGAAATGAAAATAGCTTTATCTGAAATATTATCAAACTTTGAAATTCTACCTTACGAAAAGACTCAAATACCTCTTCAATATATAATTGGTAGTTTTGTAAATGCACCAGAGAATGTTTGGCTTATATTCAAACCTATAAATACATAAATATAAATGATTAAATTTTTTATGTAATCTCACAACTTTATTATTTTATTAAAATTTAATTTATATTCCTATATTAATTAATTTTATTTGTAAACTAAAAAGTGTTATATTTTTTTAAAGATATATTGTTTTTTTTGTTGAATTTAGTTTTATTTCATATCGGCCATACCATATTTAAATAATACGTTTTCATAGTGGGATTGTGGCACAGTAGGAATTGGGTATAGTTGGAACAATACAAATGATATTTGATAGCGTTTAAAATCACTATAATAAAAATAGCTTTTATGCAAATCTGTTGATAGTGTTTAATTTTTATAAGGAACTGTTGGATTATTTCAAAATAAACATCTACTCATTATTCTTTACTAAATAAGGAAAAAGGAGTTCTTGTTGTATGAAATTGATACTATACAATTTAATATTGTAATTTTTACGATATAATTATACAAAATTAATAAGTCGTTTTATATTTCATTACATTTATAGCAAATGTATATAAAAATTAAAAGAATTAATGAAAACTTTTTAGAAAATATTTGTTAATTATGAATAAATACATTGGTCTTCAAGGAATTTTCATCAGTCTTCTCAACATATATTTTTGCTCCGATTTCAAATTTACAAATAGATTTCTTTTTTCACCCCTTTTTGAATTAAATATTTATTATAAGTTATTATCCAATTAAAATTTTGTTAAAAAATCTACATAATTGAGCGTTTTATAAAATTTGATTATAATTGTAAAAATTCATTGTAAGGTTCAAGTGAAACTAAAAATTAAGGGGATTTTTCCAATATTTGGTGACTATGAGTTCAACTATTAAAATTAAAATCTAGTTATTTTAACGTATTGATCATTAGAAATGGTTCAGTGGGAGCTGAGAATTTTTATGAATAAACTTATAAAATGTGCCAAGAATCGAAATTAAAAAAAACAATCAAAAAGTTATTAAATGAATCTTCTCAATCGAGCGTATTATAAAAAATTGATAATAACTTTAAATATCCATAGTTAAATTCAGGTGAAATCCAAAACCACTTATTTAGAAATTATTTATATAGCACACATAATAGAGTTAAAAAATTAATAAACTACAATGTAAAATTATTCAATTTTGTAGTTGAAACCTATTATCATATACCTAATTCGACAGTAAATACTTTTAAAGTCTGTATGATGAACATGGGATAAGTAACTGTTTAATTGATAAATTAGAATTGTTACTTTTAAAACATTAGAAATTTATGATTTAAATTGTCTATAGGAAAAATATATGGATTAAGTAACATTTAATTGATAATAAAAAAGAAATTTTTCTAATTTTTGAGGGTAATATCTTCAACTAGATATTGTAATCATTTGATGTATCGTTAAAAAAAGTTGTTTAAATAAGAGCTGAGAAAATAAATGAGAGCCACAAAAAAATCACATATTAAAAATATTTTTAATATCAATAAGAAATTTCTTCAAACAAGAGGAGAATACAGTAATGGGATCCTCAATATTTATTGAAGTTACTGAATTTTAATAAGATAAAAATTCAATGAGTTAAACATTTTGATCTAACTCAAAAACTTTTGTAAGGTATTTTAAAATAATATAAAATCGAGAATTTTAACACAAAAACAGCATAAGGTATTACCATAAAGACAAAATAATATCATACATTTTTTTTTTTCATAATTAAGTACATTACATTTGCTTTAATTTAAGCTATACATAAAAGTATCAGTATTTTCAGAAACTTTCAAAAGATAAGTTGAAAAAGTTAATTTTTTTTTCAAAAAAGTTGTTATTTTGAAACCTTCCCTGTGGGCAGATAAAGGATCATATTTATAAAAAAAATATACAAAATGACAGGTAAATACCTCATGAATCTATAAAAAAATAATGTATATTGATTTGTTAATTTTTAAAAATGTTGTGGTAATTTAAGTAAAAAAATTGAAAAAATTAGCAATTATTAAATTTATAATTTTTTTGGAGATATGCCCCAATTTCGGGGAACGAGGGAAATTTTTTTAAATTTTCAAGGGTAATGTCTTCGACTAGATAAGATTTGTGATCTTTTTACGTATCGTTAAAATAAATCGGTTTGGTGAGAGCTGAGAAAAAGTTGTAACAGACACAAAAAAAACCATGTTTTAGTAAAATTAATACATTCTCAGGTTCGCATCGAAGCTAAAATATTGAACATCTCTAATATGTATGAACATATTTTTGGGTAACTTTTTTATAGAAAAAAAAAATACAGTAATGCGATAACTGGTAGCGTAATAGTTGAGAAATATTTTGTAAGCCGTTTTCCGATATTGAATTGGGTTCCTTTAATTTAAACTCAATGATTGGCATTATCTTATATAAGTTGGGTTGGTTGAATTGAAGGTTAAATGACAAATTATAAGTAAAATAATTTTTTCACTTCAAGTTTGATTTTTGATATCAAGATGGTAACATTAGATAAGCCTATTAAATAACATATCATACATTTTTTATTTATAATTATTATTTTTTTGTACATTCTTTAAAAATAAACTTTTGAGCTGTCATACTTAAAATCTAATATAAAACACTTGAAATCAATTTATCTATCAGAGTTGTATTATACACTGAAATAAATGACAAAAACGATATTTTTGTCTTGAAATGTTTGAGTTTATTTTTGATTTTAAGCTGTCACTTTTTCCTTTTTTAGTAATTTCAGTTTATTTGTAATATACTTGATATATTTATTGATCTAATATTCGTGGTCATCTGTCCATTAGTCGACGATATTTTTATAGATTACTTTGCAAAAATATCACATGGAAGATGTCTATAATGAAGTATTATTTGGAATATATAAGTATTCAGTAAGTAAGGATACGGGTTTCTATTGTTCTAATTGTTTGTAAAATTTGATCCATTTCCTTACTTTTAGAACACTATGTATAATGTAGTACAGTGGTGGTTCGTGGGTGCTTGTGGTGTGGGTGCGACTTTTAATATAATACCGCTAGTTATAGGTATAAAAAATTGTCAAATTAAATATATTAAAATAAAACACATATTATTATTTTAAGGTCGCAATAGAAAATTGAAATGAAAATAATAATAATAGCGATTATACTGTTATGGCAACCGATAACGCCACTGGTGTAGTAACACATTTTAATACATGTAATAACCCAAACATATACTCAATAAAAATATGTCACCAAACAGTGTTCCATGTGGATAAGATAATAATACTCAGTCGTGGTAGCAATAAGGCAACGACAACGAGATTTAACTTAAATTAAATTAAAGTGTACTAAACTTAAAGGATGATGGTATTAAATAATAACGATTATTTTATCCAACAGAAATAATAGATATGTTACGACAAACTGTGATAATACACCTGAGTAGTTACATGACCGCGAAAAAAGCTAATCAGAGACTGATATTTATGTCAGCGCCGCCGGTTGCCGGTTAGTGATAATTCGGGTTTTGCTTAATGGACGATTCAGGGAAATACAACATGGTCGGTGTATTAATATCTTGATCCGGGTGATATCCAGATCGGTGCGACGCTAATACCACGGCCGTGTCAACCCTTTTACATAAAATTCAACAACCCTGTTACGCATTTCACAAAACCACCACAAAAAATACTCTATCACATTGACCAACCAAATCCAGTAAACACATATTTTAAGAATCTCACTAGATATCGCTAAACTTCATTTTGCGGAATATAAAAAAGCAATTTTTTCAACGAAAACGAGTTCGCCCTTGGTTGCAACTTAATATCAAATCTACGCCGTTTTACATTACATTTTTAGTCGCCTGGACTTACAAGAACCTATACATCTTATTTTCGAGCAAACACTTTTTGGTTACACAAATATTTCAACGCTTAAAAACATATATTATACACCTTACATATTTTAACTTTTGTTAGTGATTCATTATTTTTGACTCGCTCACTATTAAATAGAGTTTATAATAATTTAATATAGTGTGTCAAGTTAATTTTTTTTTAATATGAGCACTTTTATCTTATTAGCTTACATATTAGGAAATAATATAATTTAAAAGAATATTGGTTGGAAACAACTATTATATTAAAGAATGAACGTATTAATCAGAACCTGTACTAAACATTATGAAGCCTAATGCAAAAATGTTTCACGCAGCTTTTTTATTTCTGTAATAAAAAATATATATTTTTGCAATATATTTATGTTTGTAGGGCCTTAATTTTGGGGACCTAGAAGAGTAAATTAATTGTATTACAATTACCGATCTTATTTAATGTCCAGGTGAGCGGATGAGTTCATTTACAGTATTATTTTGATAATTAGGCTTAAGATAAAAATTATTCTAACCTGCACATTATTTCAAATTTATTTTTTTAATGAGAATAATAAATTGGCCAATGCTTTAAAAAATATTTTTTCAAGATATAAATGAAATATACATTAGTTAATAAATAAATATTTAATTTAATTTTTTTTAATATTTACTTCGACAGCCATTTGCATATAGAAGATAAGTCATTGGAAATTTTTTTTTCTTTTACGTGCAGTACATAACTACATAAAATTTAATTTAACATATGTTCAAAGGATGCAGCATTTCTGGAACATTTTCAAAAGTTAAGTTGAAAAGATTAAGTTTTCATGAAAAAGTAGCAATTTTAAATCCCCCCTAGTGAACAGGTTGAGGGTCGAATTTTCAAAAATTATATACCATAACAATGGAAAATACCTAAGGTATTAAAAAAAATATATTAATTCATTTATTTTTATAAAAGTTATGATAGTTTTAAGTTTAAGTTTAAAATATGTCGAAATTTACTGTTTTTAAAAATTGTATTTTTTTTAGGAATTTCCACCATTTACGGGAGTGATGGAAAAAATTTCAATTTTGGAGGTTAATGTCTTCAAATATATATATTGTTTTGACGTACCGTTGAATGAAATCGGTCTGGTGAGAGCTAAAACAATTTGACGACAGATAAAAAAAACACATCGTAGTAAAATTAATACCATCTTAGCTTCGCATCAAAACGAAAATGTGTTTTTGGTTTGGACCTGGATACTATTAATGATTCCCATATAGCAGTTACGTCATTATAAAGTATTTATTTTTCAATATTCAATTAAGATTCATATTATACTATCCCTTATTCAAATCATTATTTTTAGGCGTTATATTGACTTGCTTCCAACCTCAAGAGTCAATAAATTTTTTTTGCAATGCTTTTCAACAAATTTTTCATTATATTATTAAGAGTAAAATTGAACGAAAAATGTTATTTAACTACAAATGTAGACTAGAGAAGATTTAGTACTAAATCCAGTTATAAGAGATGAAGATAAAGAACTTAAATTATTTTATCTTAATAAGATTAAGTAATTATATAGATAATTTTTTATATTGGTGTTGTTTAGCATAAGAATTGGCGAGGAGATTTTAAAATTATTCTATAACGTTAAAAACTGTGTAATCGAAAAACTAGGCATAAATATATCATTACATAATATTTTATAGTATTTTAAGAAAGAGCTAGATTATCGTTATCTTTAGTGACACAGATCGGTTGCTACTGTTTCAAAATTTATGTTCTTAAATCTAATTTACGCCCCAAATATTTTGACATCTATTTTGAATTCACATTTAACGCATTAATATATTATTGAAAACCACCTTATAATTTTGTTTGGTAACATTAATCAAAAGTTTAGAAATTAATAAATATATCAATCTAAAAAATATACCATATCCTATATAGCTAATACCGCTAGTAAAAGTATAAAAATACAAACTCAAATCCAATATGAATTTTTAGGTTTTGAATTAAATTATTGCATAAAATTATTGAACATTTTAACAAATAATTCTTGTTAATATTTACTTGAGGTAGTAAAAATTCAGCTATGTGTAACGTACATATTCTCTTTAGTTGAGATTTAAAACTGAAAAATAAAGTCACCATCAAGCTAACAGAACACAATTAATATCATAATATTCTATTATTCATTTTAGAACAACGGTAATAATAGAATTTTTGAAATACATATAAACAGCAACTATTACCTAAAGTTTGCACAATTTTTTTTTATGAAATTACAAGGAGTTTATTATGTAAAATTTTACTATTAGATTGTGGGTCGATTTTGATAAATATATTGCAGCAAAATATAAGTTCTTATCAAGATACTAGCCATTACATTTTTAAAGATTGTGGTTTTAGATTTGGTTATTTTTGGTTTTGTTGCTATTCCTAATTATTGTGAAAAATATATAACTGATATGACTTTCACACATTTATTTAAAGGTCATTTTGGCGGATATAAAAAAATGTAAATAGCTCTAATTTTTACAGTCAAAAAAACATCATAGAACTTATATTTTTAAATTTTCATTTTAGTTTATTATGTTCATTGTGTGATCTTATAAAAACGTTTACATTTATATACCTTTCAAATTTAAAATGGATCAATTTTTAAAAAAAATTATTGCAATTAACATTTTTATTTCATTAAATTCAATATTTTCTATTGAAAGAACTCCTTTCATGCCAAATCTCCCCGTCGTAAGTACTTGGGTTTATTTAATAAATATAAATTTCATAACGAATACAGTATAAATATAACTCGGAAAATAACATTTTGATATAGACGACTTCAAAGTTTTGACCTTTCATAAGAGTTAAATCCAAGTTAATTTTTTTTTTTGATTTTTATAGAAATCTTTGTCAATTTTCTTAGGAACAGCTTCCATTATTTAATGGATAATAATAAGCTAAATAGAAAAATACTAAAGTGTCTAAAATCACAATTATGCTTTTATTCAATAGTGAAATATATAATTATTTTAAATATCTGAATATCTAATAATAATTTTATTTGAATTTAAACATTTTATCGTAAATTATTTTCAATAAAATATTTCATAATTCACAATAAATTTTGATCTTTATAAAACTATAGACTTAATTCATATTTAGGGACCATTTAAAACCAAATTCAAATTCGTATCAATTTGCAATGATACTATAGATTATCCCTTGAAGTTTAATTATTATATTACAAAACCTACTCCGACTCAAATTCTATTAAAGGGCAATATTACTTTCAATATTCCGTTAGACGACAGATTATACGTAAGTACTGTTTTTGTGTTAATTATCATTTATGAATTAAAATTAATTAAATATATATATATACATTAACTTAAATATATATATATATATTTAATTGAAAATTTTTCTTTCGCTATAAAGTTCAACTTTAACATGGCTATTTGGTCAAAAATTGGAGGATGGAAAGATAATGCATTCATTTACAAAAATAAAGGTGCATGTTTAACAATGAAATTTTTCATGAAAAATATGTGGAATGAGTATCTATCAAAACATCATTTTACTGATTGTCCCATTAAACCAGTAAGAATAAGATATAAATTATTATTTTCTTGATTAAAATTTTTATAAATAATTATTTATAACAATGAAACACTGAAAATATAATTTCAGGGTTTTTACAAAGTGGATAGTTATGATCTATCACAAGTAGCAGAGGCAAATTTTCCAAATCAATTTTTCTATGGTTCTTATAAAACCTCATTGTATTTTACGGATGAACAAAATGTTCAAGTTGGCTGTATATTGTTTATTTCAGATGTATTGAGACCATGGGAGTAAAAAAAAATGTGTATATATATATAAATAAATAAATAAACAGTAATAAACATTAGTTTATTGTATACATTTATACGCTGTAATAATTAGTTTTCATATTTATTTATATTTAAATTTATAAATGTATGGATCATTAATATTTTTTTTATAAACGTTTTATATATATTTTCTTCCGTTATACTTTTTAGCTTTGAAGTGAAACTTTTTTTAATTACCTTAGAAGGGGAGTACTCTGATTATATATATATTATGTAAGTCTAGTTGACATAGAATATAACGTTAAACTTATTTAAATATTAGGTTTTTTATTTAATTTGATTGATACTTAGTATCATAGCTATATAAATACTATAGACATCAACATATTCAGCATAAAGTCAAAATTTTAAGATTATATATGTACTAACATAGGTTGATAAATTAAATAAATTTCTGTTGAATTTATATATATTTTTACGGAGTTAATTGATTATTATTAAAAATATGAAACTTTTATTTTTATTTCAAACATTATTTGGTTAAATTCAAGTATTGGAGAGCGTTGTGTATGTTAACGAAACTTAAATAATTTATTAATGAAATAAAGTAAAAATAAAAAAAAATACAATTAATATATAGTTCAGTGTTAGGCAGGGCCATATTTAAGATTTTAGCGTTGAGTAGCTACATAAATTATGGCGTCCCCAATTTTTTTTAGAATCGCTCTTTAACACAATATTAATTAACACAAAAAAATTCAAAATTTTATGAACTTATGATGATAATTTTATAATAGAAGGGAAAAACATAAATTATAACAATTTTTGCATGAAGAGTTAAGCTTATAAATTTATTAATTGTACAGAGAGATTGATTAACTATGCCTCATAAATTATGTCTGAAAATATAAGAGTTATCTTTTTTTTACTTATGAAATATTATGTTTATTTTTGGTAATGAGGAGGCTGACCATTTAGCCAAACTTACCAAATTCATTACCCGTCGTCCAACCCTCAATATTCCATCATCCGACTTCGTTTCATCCCTTAATAAGACGTTATTTCTAGCATGGCAAGAATATTGGTCTTCTCCTTTCTCTCTCAACGCAGCTTTGCACAAATCAATTTCACCAACTATTATTAATCATCCTTGGTTCCATAAACTTCCTCTCTCCCGGTTCCATATATTATCCTTTTCTCGACTAAGACTTGGTCATAATCGCCTTCCTTTTCATGCGTACAAAATGTCCCTTAACAATTCTCCTTTCTGCCCCAAACATGACGATGAAGTTCTCTGCGATTTTCCTCATATAATTTTTGACTGCTGTGCATTTGAAAGTAATCGTTCTATTTTATTTAATAATTTATCTCATCTTAATATCTCTCCTATTAATTGTTACACTATTCTTAACTCAACTTCTCTCGATGTAATATCTTTAATTATTTCTTTCATTCATTCAGCTGGTTTTTTTATTTAACGATGTTTACTGTAATTTTGTTGATGTACGATCAATTGTATTATTATTATTATTTTCTTTTCTTTTCTCATTTTATTTAATTGTTAAGCTATAATAATACTTTGTATTGAAAGCTAATAATAAAAAAAAAAAAAATATTATGTTTCTATCTTGGGCTGCTCAGTGAGTAAAATTACATTTTTATGATCATCACTTATGATTTAAATCAGTATCAACTTTCAATTTTCAAATGGTAACTCTATTTTTTTTTATATATAGTTAGATTAGATTTAGTTTTAAAAATTTTTTTTTTTATTTTATTCAATAATCAGCGAGTTATGATTCATTAAAGTATAGGAAACGTGAGTATTACTTATGATGATTTATAAAAGTCGCGCAAGTTTTACGTCGCAGTACAATACACCGATAGTTCTTATCTGTACACTAAATGTTAATGTTACTGTATTTACCGGAATACTGTTTTATTTGTTATATCCCTTAAATAGTGATATCCCTTTAAATAGTGATATCCCTTTAAATAGTGATATCTCGTTCAGAATTGATTAAAATTGGTTTTTTTTATGCTGAACAAGATTAATAAAAAAAATAAACTGGGTTGCTATTTGGAAAACTAAAGTTGATATTGATTTAAGGGTTGAAGGATGAAGATGGATCTTTATTTTTCTTGTCAAGTAGCTCAACAAAGATTTATAACAAATAAAATAATTACATATGTGATACCACTAAAATTTTTCAAGAAATTCACGAGGCATAGTTAGTCAATTACTCTGTATAAAAAAATCATGAAGTAATAACAATATGTTTAATACATAGGGTAATTAATAATATGTAAAATATTATGGAACAAACAGAAGACAAAAATTCATCTATAAATCATTATAGACAAAAATGTAATGAAAAAACATGTAATAAAATACTACAAACGGCTAATATGAAATAATAGTAACATTGGTGGTCAACTTCTTGCCTTTTGAAATACCTTAGTAGATGTATACGGTATGTTTGCCATACCCCCAAAATAGCCAAGGTCGTTTCCTATCCCTTGGTAGATAAGCGGTGTACACGGTCGAGGGGAGTGTACCCCTGTTATTATTTAATATTTCGGGCTAATTTCGAATCAGAAATTATATTTTTACTATTACCAATAATTTTTGGTATTATTACTAAATAGTTAAAAACTATAGGATATAACTATAAGGAAAATAGTTCTGAATGTTTCAATTATATCATTTATTTAAACAACAAAAGATGATAAAAAAATTTTTAAAAACAAAAATAATTAGTTTTTAAATTATTACTGATTTTATCATTTTTAACATATTTTTTGGTATTTTAAAATTGATTATTGGAAAATTTATAATAAAAAAAAGTTGAATTTGTTACCCATAACTTTTAGCTCAACTTAAAGTTTGAAATTTACACTATTAAATAAAAAATTTTATGATAGTTAAAAAAATAGTATTTTTAAGATTAATATGCAGTCCAGAAATTGTATAATTACAATTTACTGTAAATTGAATATATTTTTGCATTTTTATTGTAACACTTAAATAGAAATCATAGTAATAATTTCTAAGTAACTTTTGTAGTTTAAAAATATTCTACAATTTTAATATTCAGAACTTAATTTTAATGATTTACTTAAACTAAAATAACCAATCGAAATATTAAAAAAATCTACTCTATTGAGCGTATCATAAAATTTGATTATAATTGTAAAAGTCCATTGTTAAATTCAGGTGAAACTAAAAATAATTTTTTTTTTGATTTATGATTTATATAACCACATGACTTTTATCACAATATTTTTATTAATATTAAATTTTATCGACGGTGTTAGTAAAAAATATAGAGATATAATTTGTTAAATGTACTTTTTTTTAAAATGTAATGTTAATTAAATAATAATTAAGAATTGTATAAGTAAATATATAACTTCTTATGTGTTCTATTATTTTAATTGCGAATCTAAAGCTATAGCTTAGGTACAAAGTATACTTAATAAATAAACATATTTTTCATGTTTATTGAAAATAGCTAAAAAGTGTAAATTTCTGTAAAAAACTGTATCGGTTAATTTTGGGTCACTTGTCAGGCTCGACGCCATCTACACCTAAAAAGTTCTTTTCAGCAGGCACGGCGCCAAGGGAGGGCAAGATGGGGCTCGAGCCCCCCCAGAAAACTGTCCAGCCCCCCCTATTGAAAAATATTTACGAAATAACAATAACTATCAAAAAGTCACATTACATTATTTTTAAAAGAACTTCATAATAGAAATTACGAAATATACTTTTTAAATATTTGAAATTTATATTAATACTTTCATTGGCTTTATAATTTATAAAATATCAAAATGCCGTGATTATAATATTCATAGTGTATACAAGCCTACGTTATCGCGTTCGTATCAATGTGTCAACGCCTTACATAGTCTATTTTTAAACAGGTTTTTATTAGATGATTATAAGACGTCAATTTTATTTTGTTTATCAGTGCATTTGAAGCTTGTCGTGTACGTGTATGTTTATTCGTGTGTTATATAGTGCAAATTTGTTTTATTTGATTTTTGATTAATACTTCTAACATGAGTAAAGACTATAGTTGTATTAAATTAAGAAAAATCGATTCGTTTTTTGGTCCAAGTTCACATAAAGGAGAGACCGAAACGGCAAGTAAAAAAATTAAAATCGAAAATACAGAAAATGAAGAATGGGAAGTTCGAAGCAATGACACCAGTATTGGTACTGATAATCATTCATCAGATTCAGATGATTTTCAACAGTTAAACTATCTACAAGAAATAAAGAATGTTGAACCAGAACAGAATCAAAAACAGATAATTGATAATCAAATGGAAATTTTTTCTAAAATAGGACCTAGTGATATAACACATATAGTCAGTGATCCACCAACACAACCAATTTTAAAAAATTACCCACAGTCTAAGTTTGGGAATGAATGGAGACAATTCCGTCCTGAATGGTTCAAATCATATCCTTGGCTTGAATACAGTGTATTAGATAATGCTTGTTATTGTTCTCCTTGTAGATTTTTTTCTCATAACTCTGATAATTCACCATTTTATAAAATTGGATTCAAAAATTGGAAAAAAGCTCTTGATAAAAATGCAGGAATTAAAGGCCATAATAAATCTTGCATACATAAAACTTGCATGACGAAGTGGGAAGGGTATAAAAACTCCAAAAAAACAAAATCAATTTTAACAACATTAAATGAGGCTAATTTATCTTTAATTAAAGAAAATCGATATTACATTTCAGTTATTTCAGAAATATTATTGTTCACAGCCTGTCAAAATATTGCACAACGAGGTGATGATGAAGGGTCAGAAAGCCTCAATAGAGGAAATTTTTTAGAACTTCTAGAACTTTGTGCTAGGAGAGACGCAAGATTTAAAGCTAAAATAGATATATTAACAAAATNCTAAAATAGATATATTACCAAAAAATGCGAAATATACTCATCATACTATTCAAAATGATTTATTTTATGTAATGAGTAAATTAGTTTTAGAAACTATTGCGAAAGAAGTTAAAGAAGCCAAATATTTTGCTATTCTTGCAGATGAGACAAAAGACGTGAGCAAAACTGAGCAG